ATAAAAAAAAAACGGATATAATATTTTGTCGATTTTTTGTAACAAAATTATTTCATACAACTACCTTTTACAGTGACATGGCTTTTTACAATGCAGGACAGCTGAAATTATTTGTAAAGCTAGGAACTTGGCAAAAAGTGAATTTCGCGAAACAAGAATGGCAACCATTTTGAAAATAGGCGAGCTTTTGAACCAAGAGTCATAGGAGAGTTTCTTGTATTGATGTTGAACAAAATTAACTTAAAATGGGAATCCTATCGACAGAGGGTTTAAGGTAAATGGTCCAAAAGTGGATTTTGCGAGACAGATGGACAAATCAATGTTAACTAAAATGGCTGAAAATAAATGGATATAGTTTTTCGCTGATTTTTCGTAACAAAATTATTTCATACATCTACTCTTTACATTGACATGGATTTTTACAATGTAGGACACTTGATATTATTTGCAAAGCTAGGAAATGGGTCAAAAGTGAATTTCGCGAGAAAAAAATGGCGGCCATTTTGAAAATAGGCGAGCTTTTGAACCAGGAGTCATAGGGGAGTTTTCTGAATTGATGTTGAACAGAAATAACTTAAAACAGGAATCCTATCGACAGAGGTTTTAAAACGTGCCACAGAAAGTGGATTTCGCGAGTCAAAAGTGACGGCCATTTTGAAAATAGCCGAGCTTTTGAACCAAGAGTCATAGGAGAGTTTTTTGTGTTGATGTTGAACAAAAATTACTTAAAATGGGAATCCTATCGACAGAGGGTTTAAGGTAAATGGTCCAAAAGTGAATTTTGCGAGACAGATGGACAAATCAATGTTAACTAAAATGGCTGAAAATAAATAAATGGATATAATTTTTCGCTGATTTTTCGTAACAAAATTATTTCATACATCTACTCTTTACTTTGCAATGGATTTCTACAATGTAGGACACTTGAAATTATTTGTAAAGCTAGGAAATGGGTCAAAAGTGAATTTCGCGAGACAACAATGGCGGCCATTTTGAAAATAGGCGAGCTTTTGAACCAGGAGTCATAGGGGAGTTTTTTGAATTCATGTTGAACAGAAATAACTTAAAACAGGAATCCTATCGACAGAGGTTTTAAAACGTGCCACTGTTATTGACAGAAAGTGGATTTCGCGAGTCAGATAATGGCTGAAAAGAAAAAATGGATACAATTTTTCGCTGATTTTTTGTAACAAAATTATTTCATATATCTAATCTTTACATTGACATGTATTTTTACAATGTAGGACACCTGAAATTATTTGTAAAGCTAGGAAATGGGCCAAAAGTGAATTTCGCGAGACAAAAGTGACCGCCATTTTGAAAATAGGCAAGCTTTTGAACCAGGAGTCATAGTGGGGTTTTCTGTATTGATGTTGAACAGAAATAACTTAAAACAGGAATCCTATCGACAGAGGTTTTAAAACGTGCCACTATTGTTGACGGACAGACGGACGGACGGACGGACAGACGGACAGACAGACGGACAAGTGAGTGATTGCAAAAGCTCACATGAAAATCTAGGTCAAATCTAATTTTTTTTAAGTTTCTCAACTTTGTTCTTATACTTCATTATTTCTTGCGATGAATTAAACTGAAACTACATTTTAGTATTTTCTACAAATTGTTCACTAGATGTCAGCATTGAATTTTTTTAAAACAGGAATCCTATCGACAGAGGTTTTAAAACGTGCCACAGAAAGTGGATTTTGCGAGTCAAAAGTGACGGCCATTTTGAAAATAGCCGAGCTTTTGAACCAAGAGTCATAGGAGAGTTTTTTGTGTTGATGTTGAACAAAAATAACTTAAAATGGGAATCCTATCGACAGAGGGTTTAAGGTAAATGGTCCAAAAGTGAATTTTGCGAGACAGATGGACAAATCAATGTAAACTAAAATGGCTGAAAATAAATAAATGGATATAATTTTTCGCTGATTTTTCGTAACAAAATTATTTCATACATCTACTCTTTACTTTGCAATGGATTTCTACAATGTAGGACACTTGAAATTATTTGTAAAGCTAGGAAATGGGTCAAAAGTGAATTTCGCGAGACAAAAATGGCGGCCATTTTGAAAATAGGCGAGCTTTTGAACCAGGAGTCATAGGGGAGTTTTCTGAATTCATGTTGAACAGAAATAACTTAAAACAGGAATCCTATCGACAGAGGTTTTAAAACGTGCCACTGTACTTGGTTATTGACAGAAAGTGGATTTCGCGAGTCAGATAGACAAATCAATGTTAACTAAAATGGCTGAAAAGAAAGAAATGGATACAATTTTTCGCTGATTTTTTGTAACAAAATTATTTCATATATCTAATCTTTACATTGACATGTATTTTTACAATGTAGGACACCTGAAATTATTTGTAAAGCTAGGAAATGGGCCAAAAGTGAATTTCGCGAGACAAAGGTGACCGCCATTTTGAAAATAGGCGAGCTTTTGAACCAGGAGTCATAGGGGGGGTTTTCTGTATTGATGTTGAACAGAAATAACTTAAAACAGGAATCCTATCGACAGAGGTTAGCTAGGAAATGGGCTAAAAGTGAATTTCGCGAGACAAAAGTGACGGCCATTTTGAAAATAGGCGAGCTTTTGAACCAGGAGTCATAGGGGGGTTTTCTATATTGATGTTGAACAGAAATAACTTAAAACAGGAATCCTATCGACAGAGGTTTTAAAACGTGCCACTATTGTTGACGGACAGACGGACGGACGGACAGACGGACGGACGGACAGACAGACGGACAAGTGAGTGATTGCAAAAGCTCACCATGTGAGCTAATAATAGCAATCATGATTACATGCGTGCTGGTCTCAGACTGCCACTTTACCAAAGCAATCGTGATAACATGCGTGCTGGTCTCAGACTGCAACTTTAATATAGCAATCGTGATTGATCGAAGTGTGGTTATCTCAGATTGTCTATTGTCACGTCATGTACACGGGGCAGTCAATCCATAAGGTACAGGCAGCTAACATCAGTCATGATTTGGTTTACACTTTCTTTGTAGTTTGTCAAACCTATACGTGTTATAACGGTGGAGTTTTTAACAGCAGTCGATGTGCCTGTGATTGTCCAGATCGATGGGGAGGCAAAACGTGTACAGCTGACTGTAGCATAGGGGACCCTACTAAATGGCCATGTCACCGTCATGACGAATCAGGTGGTGTATATTCCTGCAATAAAGGATGGTTTTTATACAGATGTCATCCAACTTGCTACCCTCAATGCATGAGTAAGTTTGCGGTGTATGTGTGTTTGTTTATTACTGGGATGACCAAAAGTTGATATGTCCAATACCAGTTTTGGTCAAGCAGATTCATCAAAATCGTGTTGATTATTTAAGAAATTCACGATTTCAAACATAATAGGGCTTTACTATCTAAAATGTGCATTTAAAACATTTATCCCTTTCATCGCCAAGAGTCAAACAAAAAATAATCGCCAATGTTTTATTAAACATAAAAAATGAAAAATAGGTTAAATACATAATATCTATTTAAATATTATAACGGTATTGTAACATTCATATATACAATCAACATGTTTTATAGTATAGTAATCAAACGCCTTACATATCTCTTTCGACGTTACAGCTGCATATCTTCACATATTCTGATAATTATAACTTCTTTGACTGGTTACCATCACATTTTGGGTGAATATCGAAACAATTTATCTCAAAACTTTATGAATTCGACCAGATCTTGGTGATTGTTTCATAGACAACTGATCAATATCTAACTAGGAACAAAATAATGTTAGGCGTAGCCACGGTTAGTCAAGGAAATGCAGTCAATTCCTCCTTTTTGATAGTTGAACCCTGACAATGACAGTACATATTTCAAAAATGTATTAAAATCCATTTTGTAAAAAAACTACTACAATATTAGCATATGCAATTGTATTTTAACCTATTGAATCCCAGGCTCTACAATCGATTGAATTCAGAGAATATTTCATTTTTGCCAGCTTTTGACATTTTATTGCACAGATATGCAACAGATGAAACTCGTTTTAGTAAAATTAGACGACAGAAATCATTTCAACGCATCTACAAAAAGTTCACAAAAAATTAAAAATTGTTGAAATAAGAGCAGTTTTAGTAAACAATTTTGTGACAGATTTTCTCGTTACTGGGTTTCAAGGTCATATCTTAGGTGACGAGATATCTGTAACCCTAAGTCATCAAGAATATAAAAACGAATTTTCGACCGGTGGGGCGGGGGTGCTCGACCTTCATAATCATCATATAGTATGTCAGCTTAGTTTAAGGCAAGTCACAATCGACATGCCTGCTATATATTTCAAAATTAGAACATTTAGTCTGGTGCTTAAATCCTTTAATTTGTATTTATAGAATACTATTTCAAAAACTGTCCCAGTCTCTCAAAACCCTTGATATGTAAGAATGGTGGGTACTTCGACCCCAGTACATGCGTGTGTGCGTGCAAGACAGGGTATGCAGGCAAGAACTGCGAGATAGGTAAGGATTGTTTAAAAACACGTACAGTATATATGAAATGAATGATTTTGGATAACACTAATCAGTCCAGTGTCATAGTTTAACCCAATGTCTGCAGGGGGGGGGGGGGGGGGGGTCAAATTCGAGCTTGGGAACACATATTGCTTAAAAGATGAACACGTATCCATCCAAAATATGCAATGCTATATAATATATAAATAATGTTTTATTCATTTCATTTTCATTGGCAACAAACTTATGAATATTGAATGTGAAATACAGGCAATCGTCAGGTATTTGCGATTTGCGTTTCGCGTTCACGAATTTGAGAATAACCGTTTTTTCCAAAAACTACTAAATAAATACCTATTTTACAATCTAAGCACCAAGCCCGATGCTAAAATTTCTTCGATTTGTTCTTTTAGAAGACTACGTGAACAATTGCCCTAATCTTTCAAAGCCATTAGAATGTAAGAATGGAGGAATCCCCAATCCTCAAAAATGTGCGTGTAAGTGCAAATGGGGGTTCAGAGGCACAAACTGTGAGAAAGGTAAGGTTAAAGCTATTAACTCAGCCATGTTGTTTATTTTAATGTCGATTTTAATGAACAACAGAAAATCTGGAAAGCATACAATACATATAAACAAAATGTACAGATGTAAAAGGGTAGGGTCCTATAAAATTATGTTCTTACTCTCCATTGATTTATATGGTGACTTCTTTCCCTTATTATCTTATACACAATTTAGACACAATTATGACCAGTAAGGGCCGTTAAGAAGAGGACTATAATCCCCGGGGGACCATTATTTCTTTTAAACCTGGCTGTTCTTTTGTCACTCTCCAGTTGACTGCGACGCTGGTTCATCCACCCGTAACAAGTTTCCATGTAACGCTCACAACGAGAAAGACTATTACTACTCTTGCCGTTGTCCAGGATTCAGAGGCAGCTGTTATTCACTGTGTCATCCTGCTGATTGTAAAGGTAAGAAATATTTTTAGCTACAGCTTATAATTAAGGCAAAAATATGTCATGGATATGCTAAAATGATGATTTCTCATGTTAAAATGAGAGAATTTTCAAGAGGCCATACATCAGTGGATATACAAAATGTAAAATATAGGGGATATATACACTGTTCCATAACTACTTACTTTGACGGAATGTCAATGTAACAAAATGGATGAACATTCTGGATACGAGCTTTTGTTTTCTCGATCTAATCTTACGCATAAGTCATCTTACGGATTATCATTTGGTACAAAGTTAGACAATATAGTCTAGCTTTTAGAATTGCTCTCGGTTTAGAATTTTTATTTTTAAATAAAGCTGCATTTCATGCATTCAGACCATCGCTTTTGTTACATTGACCTAAGTCGTCAAAGTAACATTTATTGGTAATATAAATGTATTTCGTCAATGTAACAAAAGCGAGGGGCTAAATATATGAAATGCAATTTCATTTACAGTCTTTCAGTTGGTTTTACTCTGGCCAGGGTGAACGAGAAAAGTTATGAAGAACATTGAAACGATAAATATATGTTATTTACTGGGAGGGGTTTTATATGGGTTTTATTCCGATGGACAATGTGATATTTACCGAAGGGTATTATAAATTTGCCAAAGGTCAATATAATATTTTTCGAGGAATAAAACCCATATTCAATCCTGAGTAAAAATAAAAAAATATTTACTCCATAATACATCCCTCAAAAATGTTGCATTTGGATAATGCAAACATTATATTGATAAATGTACATTGTCTGAAAAAATGAAATAACCGAGAAACCAAAAATAGGGTTAGTACGCTCAAATACGATTTTTCCCCATGGACAATACGATTTGTTCATGTAATACGATTTATATTCCTTTATATTCCCCTTGTAAAACAACAGTATTATGCAATAATTCTTTAACCACAGTCAACTTACTGCACTTCAAGATTCCGAGTAGTTTTTTGGCTATTGTGATCATTAAAATCCTTATTTTCTACTTAAAAGGTAGTTGCGTTGCCCTTACATAAACGCGATATGATATGAATGAAATGACATATCCATCCCTATATAGAAATATAAATAAAAAAATGATTATAAAAACAAAAATAACAGAAGAAGTAATTCAGTCACCATCGGTTTCACTTTTATTCTTCAGGTAATTGAAGAAATAAATAATAACTTTAGAAATATATCTTATATATATATAGATTGTGTTGACCGTGGTCAGTGTGTTCATGGAAAATATGATTCACAACCGGAAGTTTGTGGCTGCGTGTGTGAGAATTCATGGTCAGGAGGCAAGTGTGACGGTAAGTTATTTCATGGTTATAATAGGGGGTCTCTTAAAGGTATAAAACCTTGACAAAAATGTATTTGAAAAAATGAAAATGAATAAATAAAATAACCTAGAAACCAAAAATAGGTTAGTCCGCTCAAATACTATTTTTTCACCCAGATAATACGTTAGGCTAGATAACTACGAAAGAGTACAGAATATGATAATAAAAAAGATACATTACATAGATCAACCAGATATAAGGAACACAACCCATTCAGATCAAAATCCAAAATACGATCTAATACACAGAAGAAACCTTACAAACGAAGCATTGTGTCTAATAAGCCCCTAATCATCCAGTAAAATATTTCTGTAATATTATCACATCCTATCACTCAATCTTATACTCTTGGTATGCAGAATGCTTCAAGTATACACACAGGCAATATACATGTCAGAATGGCGGAGTCTGGAACCCTAAGCGATGTGCATGTGATTGTCTAAAACAGTGGGCTGAAAAGGATTGTTCAGTGGACTGTAGCGTCGGGGACCCAACCAAATTTCCGTGTAACCGTCATAGCGAAGCTACCTTCGATTATTCGTGTAGAAATCAATGGATATTGAAGAAATGTCGGCCAACTTGCTACCCTAAGTGTATGAGTAAGTTGATTTATTTGTTTAGCTGTTCAGGCCTGGAAGAAAACTCAGTGGTCGAGGGTGGTGATGGTGCTGAAAAGGCAATGAAACACACACTAGGGGTAAGAGTGTTATGGTGAATTGTTTCTCGCTATTACTTGACTTCATATTGAAACATCATATGGATCATGAGACCATTTACGCATTACTGCTGCCTACTTCATAAAGATAAAATCATCAACAATTCAATATGTATCATTATATGTTCCTCTACGTTATTATACAGTATTGCGATACCAACGTATTGTATTTGATATTTTAGATTACCATAAAACGAAAGATTGCCCTAACCTCTCAGAACCATTGGTATGTGAGAATGGAGGAACATTTGACCAAACTTCATGCAAGTGCCTGTGTAAGACAGGATATGCAGGCAAAAACTGTGAGAAAGGTAATGATTCAATGAAAGTAAGACTGCATGTTCTTTCATATTTAACACAAAACAACCTTACAAGGAGCTAACACTCTTGGGTGTTTGAATAAGTTGTCATGGGTACTGTAATGTCAAGTTACCAACAGCGTTTCATAACGTTTTTTTAAATACATAGTTATGTAAAAGCTTGAACGCATTAAATGCAATATAAACATCCTCTATACAAATACCCCTCTATTTATAGGTTATAAACAAAATCATCCCCAATTTAGGATAAGGTGCTTCAATGTCGTCTCTTAAATTCCTCATAGGACTTCTTTGAACTTTTTTAAACCGCCAAACATTAATCCACGGATTGATGAATGATTTAACAAGGCCAGTTAGCTCACATGGTGAGCTATTGTAATCACTCACTTGTCTGTCCGTCCGTCCATCCGTCTGTCAATCTGTCCGTCCGTCTGTCAACAATTGGCCCGTTTTAAAACCTCTGTCAATAGGATTCCCATTTTAAGTTATTTTTGTTCAACGTCAATATAGAAAACCCCTCTATGACTCCTGGTTGAAAAGTTCACCGATTTTCAAAATGTTCGCCATTTTTGTCTCACGCAAAATTCAATTTTGACCATTTGCTTTAAAACCTCTGTCGATAGGATTCCCGTTTTAATTTTATTTTTGATCAACATCAATATAGAAAAAGCTTTGTGACTCATGCTTCAAAAGCTCACTTATTTTCAAAATGGCCGCCATTTTTGTCCCGCGAAATCCACTTTGGACCATTTGCTTTCAAACCTCTGTCGATAGAATTCATGTTTAAGTTTTTTTTGTTCAACATAATTATAGAAAATCCCTATGACTCCTAATTCAAAAGCTTGCCTATTTCAAAATGTCCACAATTTTTGTCCCCCAAACTTCACTTTAAGACCATTTGAAAGATTCATAAATAATTTCAGGCGTCCAGCCTTGTAAAAAGCCATGTCACTGTGAAGCGTAATTTTATGAAATAATTTTGTTATATTCGTTTTTTGCCATTTCAGCCATCATTCACTTTTGAGCAACACCATATGAGCCCAGTACCCACGGTACTATTAATTTTATGTTGGGACTCGATACACCATTCGCCAATTCTCATTTAAAGATATATCTGTCTTTCAGACGAACAAAGTACAACTGCCAAGCCGACTACATCTGCCAAACCAGGTAAAATTGAACTGTTGGTTTGATTATTCAGATATATGACTCCTTTTACGAATGAAATCCAAATATAAAAGATACAGCATACTAGTTTAGTTTTTAGTTTTAAATGGTTTATCCATGTGCCACTGAAGATACAAATGCATGCATAAAATACCTGACATAAACCAATATATATTTCGTAACATCACCAGCCAGTGTCGACCTAGCTGTGTATGTTAAATATGTATTAATTTATATGACAATAAATAAACTACTCCAGTAAAATCGTTGTAAATATTCACAAATAAATGAAAAAATGCAATACAGAGTAAACCTAATGTAATCAATAGCCATTGGTAAGTAAAACAACATATCAAAAATCTAGAAAAATCTAAGTTGTGGAAAATCTTAAAATCACCATTTACACCCCTTGGGGTAATTTTGTGAGGGGGTACTATCAATGGTAAGCATCAATAACTCTAATCACTATAAAATCTTCAGGGATCATGTGCATATATATGGTGAATAGTCAAGACAGTTTTGAAATTAATTGGTCGATTGGTTACCATAGCAACACAATTTAATTGCTCAAAATCTTAAATATTTCAGGTAAATCTGAAGCTTCTCATAATAACAGATGTTGCCATTTCTCTTTAAGTCATTTGAAATTGATCATTAAGCTACCCTAAAAACATATTTGGGGAGTGTTAAATAAGATAACATGATAAATGTGATGCATTATATGATGTATTTGACTCTGGACTCTATTCTATTAGGTGACTACCCCTCTTTCTACTTAAAAGTGAGCGTGGCACTTTTCAGTGATAATTTCCTATTATTTTCACAAGATCAGTCACAGTTATATTTATAGGGCTTATGGATACTGATGTTATTCTTTAATATGATGAGTCTGTACATGATTGGTCAATTGATTGCCATAGTAACAGAGCATAATAAACGCAAATATTGTAGTGCATATGTTCTGAAACACTTATCTCATAACATAGAATATGATTCAACCCCAAGCAGCGTATATGGTGTGCTTCAATACCGAGAACGTGTCATCAAATAGCCTAATATGGTAGAACCTGAGACTATAGAATAGTTCAGAAGAGCCTTAGTTGGTTCAGCCTCCAGAGTATATAGATGGTACAGCCTCAAAAGTATAAGATTAGTGCAGTCTCAAGAATCTAATATGATACAGCCTCAAGTATTATATGTATTTAGCATCCAGAGTCCAAGATGATATAACATTCAGAATCTAAGATTGCTATAGTTCAGCCTCCATAAGTCTAAGATGGTATAGCCTCCAGACCCTTAGATGGTACAGCCTCTAGATATAACATGGGATCAGTCTCCAGAGTATAAGATGGTACAGCTTTCAGAGGCTATGATTGCTATAGCATTCAGAGCCTAGGATGGGTACAGCCTCCATGGGTCTAAGATGGTACAGCCTCCATGAGTCTAAGATGGTAAAGCCTCCAGATATAACATGGAATCAGTCTCCATAGTCTAATAAGATGATACAGCCTTCAGAGGCTATGATTCCTATGCCATCCAGAGGTTAAGATAGGCACAGTTTTCACGAGTCTAGAATGGTACAGCTTCCAGATATAACATGGGTTCAGTCTTTAGAGTCCAAGATGGTAGATCCTTCAGATCATTTGATTGCTATAGCATTCAGACACTAGGATAATTACATGTTTAGCCTCCAACCCTTAGATGGTACAGCCTCTCGATAAAACATAGGATCAGTTTCCAGATTCTAAAATGGTACAGCCTGCAGATCCTAAAATGGTTCAGCCTCCAAAGTTGAAAATGGTACCCTTAGGATAAATGTTATGGGTAACCCTTAGGTTTCACATAACTACCCATATTGTTACCCATAGCCTCCAAGTACCCATAACGTAAGGGTAATTGATGCCGTATCCAACCTAAGTTTTTTGGTAATGACTTATAATGGGTAATAATGGGTAAATAATGGTTTTACGTTATGCCATTATGTGCAAGTTATTTGGAATTTATGTGTATGTTATGGGGACACATAATTTGCCCATAACATACACATGACTTGCACATTGCTAATACATAATGCCCCATTACACCCCCATTATCTACAAATAACATGCACATAACCTGTACATAATGTACACATATTTTACCAGTCAGGGACATAGCCAGGGTCGATCGAGTCAAAAAAATATTTCTAAATTATTAAAAGGTGAATTTGTGCAAACACTGCCAAATTTAAAAAGTAAAGATTCTAATGTATAAGAAAGACATAAATTGTTAATATTCATAAAACATGTACTGCTTGTTTCAATGAAATTATACTGAAAGAAAGGTTATTGGTATCCAATCATCAGAAACACAACAGTTCAATAGTTTAATGAGATTTTTGGAAATTATCTTAAATATATTCTATATCTCAATACACACCATTAAGAATTTAGGGACTATTTTAGTTTACAATGCAAAACATGCACATATAATTTAGTTTGTTATCCTGGTCCTAACAATATAGAAATATATTGAACTGGTATAAATGATATGAAAATATTTGTCTATTCTATTAAGAGTAGTGTCTCCCCCTTCAGAAAAATATAAACAAAGCTGAAAATGTAGATTACCCATACTTTATGGGTAACACATAATTAACACATTGTCACTAACCATGCTTAGCCCATAACATCTACTTATGTTAAATTATGAGTATATCATTGTTTTAACATGTAAGTTTTATGGGTAACACTATGGGTTATGTACATATAAACCATAAATGACCTAATGAATTACCATTATTATGGATAACACTATGGGTAATACCCATAACATTTTTCCTAAGGGTATAGCCTACGACTAATATTAACAATTAGAGTATAATATGGCCTCAAGAGTTTAATGGGTACATCTACTTCTATAATGGCTACAACCTTCAATTCCAAGAGTCTAAGATGACTCAGCCTCTAAAATCCAAAATTGATACAGCCTACAGAGTCGAATATGGTACAACATCTAGAGTATAATATGAATTCAACCTCCAGAGACCAATATGGCATAGCTTCAGAGTTTAATTTGGATTCAGCCTCTGGGGTCAAATATAGTACAGCCACAACAGTTTATGATTTCTATGAAAGTCAGGAGTCAAATATAGGTACAGCCTCCAAGAGTCTAAGATAGTACAACCTACAAGAGTCTGTGATGGACGATACAGCCTACATAGTCTAAGTTGATACATCTTCTAGAGTCTAAGATGTCAAGGATCACAATTTTGTCACATATAACATCAAGCTGTGATTAATAAATATACATAAGATGGTACAGCCTTAGAGGTTTTAGAGTCTAGTGTCCAATGGAACATCCTCCAAAGTTTAGTATGGGCAGAACATCCATAATCTAAGATTGATACAGCCTACAGGGTCTAAGTTGGTACAACTTCTTCAGTCTAAGATGTCAAGAATCACCATTTTGTCACATTATTATATAAACCATTATTACATTAATATCCAAACCTGTATTTGTTAAAAAAATCATACACGAAAACAGTTCCTAAGGATGAATGTAATAAACAATTAAGATTAATAAGGATTGCCTCTACCCACGATTTACATACATTATGTTGTGTTACTATGGCAACCAATTGACAAAAGATATTTGGACTCACCATTCCAGATAATTACACATGTTTTAATGACCCTTGTAAATATGATTCTGTCAACATGAAATTATTTGGAATTGTAATAACAAAAAGTGCCACGCCCACTTTGTGGTAAATTGAGCAGTAGTTATCAAACATGAGCCAAATATGTCATCCTATTAACCTATTTATCATGTTATCTTGTTGAAAACTCCTTCAATATGTATTAAGCTCAACTTTGTGTTTAATTTGAAAAATTGAAAATGACAACCTACCATCTGTTTGTAGGAAAACGGTAGATTTATCCTTAATAGTTACAATATTTTGCAATTAAATTGTGTTGCCATGGTAACCAATTGACCAATCAAGACTAATCTTTTCATGACAACTAACTATATATGGATGCATAATCCCTGAAAATTTGATTGGAGGCACCCAACAGAAAATATAAATGCTTATCACAGTACCCCCTCATAAAATAAGACCAGGGGTACAAATAGTGATTTTTACATGTCTTCCAATGCTTAGATTTTCCTAGATTTTTGATATGTCATCAATATGCATTTGTTGCACTAGGTTTAATAAGTATATGCAATTTTTTCATTTATTTTTCTTTTTTACTGGAGTATTAATCATAATGCTTCTTTTATCACGGTTATCTCAGATCTTTATGCAACAAGGCTTAAAAACAACATTTGAAGAGTAATCAAAACGGCTCTATAGGGGTTGTTATACACCTTCATGCACCGAATTACTCCAGTACTCTCAGTTGAAATGTACCTATCTTTCAGTCATAAAAAGTACACGATTATTTGTACCCCTTGGTTACAAGAGGTTTTATTATACAACTTTGTATCGAATGAAGTTCCGTAAGCAGACAAGATTCCCGAAGACTTGATCAATTACTTGACTCTCACGTTTCACTTTAATTTGCTCATATTTTAGGATCTTCTTTTGAGAGTTTAGGCTGCTATCAGGGAGGTGACCGTAGACCTGATTCAGTCCTCCTGAAGAACATGCGTTCTAGTCTGCAGTGGTCTAATATGACTCCGCACGTGTTAGAATGTGCGCGATTAGCCATTGAAAAGAACTTAAACGTATTTGGTAAGTTATAGCAGCGCATGAACTTACTTGGCATATCTGAACCGTGAAGCTGTGTTACTAATATTGTTGTGGTAGGTGGCGGATACACTAGGGAACAACTGGAAACGAAGATATAATATCTTTGTTTCAACATTGTCGGACTTCCGGAAGTAGAATTTTGTAAGAATATTTGTTTTCTTGATTTAATCGCCTTTTGTATCCTTCAAATTTTAACTGAATATTTGTCGCATTTGTAGTGCGTACAATCCAGTTCCGAAATATAACTTCGCCTCAGAATAAATAATAGCTTAATTGTTTGGATATTTTCAAATCAATTCTCTCGCTTAGAAAAAGAAGGATGTTTCTCTAAGAAACGTAGATAGTATACGTTTATGAATTATGAAACGAAGACAGCATAAGGTCTTCGTTCCTCAAGTGAGAATTGATTTTTGCTATGTATTTCTGAAGTGAAATCAGATTTCGGAAACAGAATGTATGCACTACATACAAGTGATATGTCTATAGTTGAAATTTGTAGGATAAAATGTATTAAATCGAGAAAACAAAAGTCCTTTGCCCAACTTTTGCTTCTGGAAGTCCAACTTTGTTGCCACAAAGACATTTATCTTCGAATTCACTGGTGATTGGACTGGGTGCGAGAACGAGAACATTTCTTTGAAATCCGGGTATTTCAGGATAAAATATTAACTTTTAATTTGACGGAACATACATGTACAGGATTAACATACAAATATATGCATTTATTCAACAGGCATTGAGTATTATGGAGAATGTTGGGGGGTTAAGAATGACGCCGATTCAAGCCTTTGGCAAAAGAAAGATTCTGGATGTGTCACTGCTGATTGGACTGGGAATTACCTGCTTGGAAGTGCTAATGAAATTGCCCTGTACAGATACGGTAATATATTTTAACATCAGTTGTTACGGCAGATATTAGGGAGGTTATTAGTTAGCACTGTTTCAAGAACGTGTCTTTGATACTGATAGAGTATGAAGACGACAAAAATAGTTGTAATGAGGTCCCCGATATTTGAGGGTTTTAATATTTGACATTCCGTTCACGTTTCCCAAATTCCCGTAACGTGGCCTCTATTCATTAAACCAATCAACTGGTATCGCCCGAAATTCATTATAGTCCTCCTTTCCATGGTAGAGCTCTTCACACTGAACACTTTCCTAGGATGCCCAGAGAAAAGATAACATTCTATTGACCTCTGAGATTTGCATTACGTAGATTATATCTTGTCTAGAAACGGCAAAACTAACATCTTCCGATTGGGGAGATGTACCACGGTTAGAGGAATAATGATTTTGCAATAAAATGGTCTTTCCCCGGGCAATAATAGAACGACTTGACACCTATGGTTGTAATATCTTAATAGCTATGTATGTGTAAATTATAAAAATCGGATTTCCATTTACATGTACATGTATTACCACAAAATCATATACGAATCAATAAGATTAGAAAAAGGATTTCATAAAAAAACGTTTCTTTAAATATGAATCTGAACAATAATGACAATATAGTAGCAGTAACTTTCATTTTGACAACGTGCATGTTTATATTTGCAGCAAAATAAGAAATCGACAACAAGATCAATCAAAATGACATACCACAAAGACGGGGAGATGATAAAACACATTTAGACAGGACATTCTGCGACATTCAATTGTCAATTGAGTTACATTATCCGCGTCTTGTTCTACTTGGATATTACCAACACTTTGTTATGTACATGTATGTCAATAAACAAACAGCAAATTGAAATGTGATTTGTGTTCATCATTACAATTCACCAATTATGCTTTTAAAAAGGTGTTATCTATACTAACATCTGCCATGAGACTAGAAGAAATAAAATTTGAATTACTAAAAGCGATGATCATGAAGGTAACCATCATGAATACTGCATTTGTGGTAATCAATCAGAGTGATACATTTGATGAATGGTCAAATTTTATCGATTTCCTATTTTAATTTTCCTAATGACTAGAGACCTCCCATTGGATAAAATTATGGAGACATTATTTTGGTTATTTAATTTGAGAAAGGGTCGATGGCAAACATTGACAGGACCCGGTGTCAACGTAAATATGGACCGTGCTTCATATGGTCCGCTGGACTATAAGTCCTGGAAAATAAAGTCCGAGGCTATATTATCTAGAATAACAAGGCAGATGGACTATATTTTCTAAGGTTTTTTAGTCCATTCGCTAGAATTTGAAGTCCTTGGTTGACTATAAATACCAAATTATGGTCTCTTTAACCTTCATTCCGGACCATATTATCTGGTAAAAATGTCCTTTGACATGTATTGAACTTTGCTAAAATAATGTTTCATTGACATACAATGTAATACTGTTATTCCATATCGTTTAATCGTCAAGTACTTAAGAATAATGTCTATAACCATTAAATTAGTCATTGGACATTTGTCTAACCATCCTGAAACATTGTTAAGGTATTTATATATTAAAATCAGCTACTTATTTGACTACTTACTCAATTACTTAATTAGTTATTACTTACTTAGCTACTTACTCAGCTACTAACTCATGAGGGTTATGTACTGGGAGGTTTTGGATATGGGGTTTATCCAGAGGGAGATGTGCATATCTCACGAGGGATGAACCCAATATCCAAACCGACCGTACATAGCTGCTTTATCCTATACCAAGTGGAGTTTTCGTGGGCATATGGCCATTTCAATAGTACAAGGTGTAAAAATAAACAAACCATTCATATGCAAAGTTATTTTATTGCATTTCCACTACTTACCGGAAGCGGGAAGATGTGCACCGAAGCGGGAAGATATGCACCGAAGCGGGAGATATGGAGGTTCTGGCTATGGAAACCTCAAAATAAGGATACGGGATATATCTTACCAACTTATCTCCCTAAAACTCTGCTTGGCATATGATAAAGATTCTTACTCAGCTACTTACTCAGCTACCTACTCAGCTTTTTACTCAGTTGACATGCCTGCTACATGTTTCACAATCAGAACATTTAGTCTGATGCTTAAATCCTTTAATTTGTACTTATAGTATACTATTTCAAAAACTGTCCCAGTCTCTCAAAACCATTGATATGTAAGAATGGTGGGTACTTCGACCCCAGTACATGTGTGTGTGCGTGCAAGCCATGGTATGCAGGCAAGAACTGCGAGATAGGTAAGGATTGTTTACAAACACGTACAGTGTGTGAAATGAATGATTTGGGATAACACTAATCAGTCTAGTGTCATAGTTTAACCCTTATATCTGCGGGGGGGTCAAATTCGAGCTTCGGGAATACACCTTGCTTGAAAGATGAACACGTATCCATATATGCGATGCTAAATTTGAATAATGTTTTATTCATTTCATTTTTATTGGCAGCAAACTTATGGCCCTCCGGGGGCCATCTTAACAGCAGCAATTCTTTTCGGGTCGGATGGATATTGAGTTGGAAAAAGAGAACTGTGGGGGTAGATACTCAATGAAAACTCGTCTAAAGTGCCTTGATAGGTTTTAAGAGGTTTATAAAATTCAAGATCCTTATTTAGGGCTTTTAAAGTCAAAAGAACTGCAGTTGTAACATGGCCAATGGAGGACACATTGATTAGTAATGTGTTGTAGGGGGGGGGGGGGGGGGGGGGGGGGGCTCATTTCGGGACACCCTGTACTAATTTTCCGTAAATGCATGGAACTTAAAGCACTGGCATGTAGCGATTATAGCGATACTGGATACTTTACTGAATTGTGTCGAAGTTAGACGTGTGGTGCGGAAGTTAATATGCAGATGACCATCATTTCAATGTTATATTGTTTGTAGGCAAATTGAGATTAGGCCATTGGAGTATTTGTTTCACGCATACATAAAGCATAACGCATTCAAGGGTCACATTTATCATTAAACCAATAAATCAAACATATGACCTTGTACACAGACCACCTCTTGAAATCAATGCAGGCCGATTTCAACGAATGCAAACGGTGATATATAAAAGAAACATAATCAAGCATGACCACGTCCCATTAACTAAGCTATGACTGCAGTCTATTCAGTGTTGCGTATCGAACCTTGTTTATTATAAAAATAGTGCAACAACAAGCAGAATTCACACATTCACCTTATACTTATTTTCAACTGAAGACATTGAATTTATCTCTTAGGATTTACATTATAAATATCTTAACATGCAGAATACGAAAATAGAGGCTTAGGCCCAACTTTGTATGGATTTTATGAAAATAATCTGATTTTAGAGAAATGAAAAGAAAAATGTCCACTCATTCGCTTCGCTCACTCGTGTTGATATTTGATATCAACTCTGCGATAAAAATGATATCACTCAAAATGATGTGATATTCTGTATTTAGCAAACAATTTACAAACCATCGAATATCACTTTTAAACTATCGAATATCACGTCTTAAAAAGTGATATTCGATGGTTTGAAAAGTGATATTCGATGGTTTCGAATTTTTTCAAAAAATGAATTTTGAATATTTGATGACGTAAATCATTGATCAAGATGATTTCTACTCGCATCTTGTCTATTCCACAGGTTTGGGAAACGTGTACAGGAAAATCTCCATGTTCAATTGATGTATGATCAATATACGAATCGAATGTATTCTCGTGTGCATTACAATATCCACATTAAAACATTTTTGGCCTGCAATGGACGTATAATGGATTAGAATACGAGGCCGTGTTATCATTCAAATGTAAAGTCATGGTATTGGGTTGCAAGTTAATATCAGATTCAATGCAAAGTAATCATTTAATATCAGATGCGCGATCAGTCCAATAATGTAATTTCAGGTCATCAGTTCGATATCTAGCAGTTGTTCTAACGACACGGTATTACTAGGCTACAGGCCTGTCAACTGTCCCGCAATTTGCGTATTTGTCACGCATTTGCTGAAGAATTTGAAGTCACGCCAGTTTTTTTTGCGTGACAGAGAATGTCACGCAAAATACGCATTTTACCTGGCAATTGTCAAGCAAAAATATTTCTGTAGAAATTTTTTCGAAATATGTTTACGATACGGTAAAAATACGAACGTCGGAAAAAACCGAACGCAATTTGTTCGGATTTGTCACGCGAATCCCGTATGTGTCACGCATGTTCATTGGAAATTTTTCGTACCTACCCCCCCCCCCCCCCCCCCCCCCCCCCCCCCCCTCCCGTTGACGACTACGCGAGCGTAGCGAGCGCGAAAAATTTGAGGTGTTCAAAGTTTGGCAAAGGTGCTCAAACTTTGGCCAAAGGTGTTTAAAAGTTGGCCAAAGGTGTTCAAAATTTGGACAAAAGTGTTCAGATTTTGACTTAGGTGTCCAACATTTTGAAGTCACTCATATTAGGTGGTCCCAAGTTGACAGCCCTGAGGCTATCATGTTATAAATACACACACATATAAATAAATCAAACTGGTACACGATACAAGCACGACTGCTCTTTCAATTGAGTATAAATGTTGATAAACTTACCCGGAAGCCAACACATACACGTTTAGACGATGCTATTTTCAGTTCAGCGTAAGAGTAAATGCCCGGATATCGTAGCTTTTTCGTGTAAAGTTTTAACCAAGCATGTAGAATCGGGTTATATTGCGTGTAGAATTTATCGATATCAGGGCCGCTACATGCCAGTGTTAAAGTGTGCGCCAAAATGTAAAACTGCGTAGGCGCAGCGCTCTCGCTAACCTATATCAGTATATAAAGAGATTACAAGGTACAGGCTTCAGAGGTAAGCCAGGAAGGTGTACAACTATCGTCCCGTGTTGATTTCCCGTATAATCGTAACCATGCAAGTTTCACCATTGGAATTGAAAAGGACTATTAGATATACTTTGTAGATGTTTATATATGAAGGTATTAAGTGTATGCATCAATCAAATGGCTCTTTTTGAACATATAAAAAATATTTGTGTTTTGTTTCCCAGGGAATTGTATTCCCATGTAGTGCACACATAAAAAGTTTACATTATGTAGTACTTGAATAGCCTGGTTTATATAATATTTAAGGGCATGCTGATTGTACACACGAGTACATGCAGGAAGGCCTAGTATTGATATTGCTTGCATACCTAAGTGAAAATAAACTCTTCTAATCCCCTAATGTAAACACGGCGGTATACGTAGCCCGATTTATTTGGGGCTTTAACACCGCTATTAATTCAACCTATCACTCTGTCTTAAACTGTTAAAACACACTAAAAAATAAACTTAAAATACACTTTCTATCTCCAATTGATTGGATGAAGAACCAGCATTCCTTACTGGACGTTTCTTTAACTATGGATCTCAAAATGACGACTGTATCATGAACATGTATTTTGCAGAAGAGAAAGCACAATATATTTTACATGCGCGAACTTTTTGACTATTGACCAGGGCGCTTTTGAGTAAATCGATTGCAACCTAGAACGGGCCGAGTAAGAAATTAGTCAATATTGTTATTCACCCAATTCCAATGAGAGATTGGTGAATTACATGTTCAAAACTATATGTCCGTTCAAAGGAACATTTTACCATTTAGATTTATTTTAGATTTTCAAATATTTGGTATGTCTATAATACAGGGTACAACATTTTAAAAATTGATGAACACCTGATACAACGAATGTAAATTGTTCAATAGTACAGGGAGCGAGACAGTAAGCTTATTATACAGGACGATTCGAGAATACCTACAGTGTACAGTATACAGTCTACGGTCAGACAATTCTGCTCCACCCCAAGGTACTGCAAAATGGCAGTTTCTCCGATGACAGTCATGTGTGACATAATATGCAAGATATGACATCAGAATTGGTTATGATGTCATATCAACTACATCAGGACAATGTGTAAACAAAATTTGAAAAGTAACCGTCAATTAAAAAAAATAACATGGGAAAAATGCCATGGTAACCGCTGTTGCTATGTATTTATTTGAAAAAAGTAATGAGTGTTCATTCAATACTCTATTCCTTCGGGGATGTCTATACTTGATTTTATTGCATTTGATATGCTGCTCAACATTTTCCCACTAGTTAATGATACCCCTTTAATGGCTAATTTGTCATTGATTCAGCGTCTCTTCAACATATCATCTCCAGAGGTAGGCGCGGCTGATGAACCAAAAGTATATTGGCCCAATTGTTCTTTGTTTAAAATATTATAGTGTTCATTAGCGTGAGAACTACTTTACAAACAGTGTCCCTTAAACTTATACTAGATGTATATTAATTCACTCCCTCTACAATATATCATCTTCAGAGCCATGTATGGTTGATACTGATCAATCAAAAATAAAAAATAATTCTTAATAAATTTTGACATCAAATGTTGACCCATTGTAATGGAGATCTAACATTTAATGTTGCAGACTTCACAGAGAATAGAATCAGAATCAGATTTATTTACTTTCAACTTAATCCGGTTGTATTTCGTTGATTATTTCTAATTTTATTGTGTTCCATTAACATTTAAACCTTTGAGGAAATCCACTGGTCCTCAACCTTTTTGGAGTAGTTTATACCATAAAAGATGGATGGACCTAGAAGCCATAGGGGTCAGCCATAGTCCTACACAAAATAACCCCTCTCAGAAAGGTCAAACCTTTCGAAAAATCAACAATGTTTTCTCAACGCCTACAAATTCACTCTGCTATACATAACCCCTAGAAATGCATAAGATACTCTGTTTGTCCAATGGGATTGTTTAGTATCTTTTTGAAAGTACCTCATTAATATCTAATGTCATCCGATAAACTATTCATAAGGAACAGACACATCAAAACAAATACCATGATCTTTACTTATAATTCAAATGGGTTGCTTATGAACACCAAATGCAAGGTATAGTAGAGTGAAATACAGGGCGTATCAAAAAAACGCAACAAGTAGTTATCTTGTAAAATCACAAAACTAGTGATGACTACATCAATTTTATTTAATGTATCATAAAGCCACTTCTCTCCTCTTTCCGATGATATGTCTATCATTCACATGTGATAATGGTTGGGCGAGAAATCCTTCCGTTTACACAGTGGGTTAAAATCGGCTCTTGGCCAAGTTTTAGATATTGCAAAAATCAGTGCAAGGGCTAAGTGCCAATGGAAGTTCCTCTGAATTGAATTGTTGTGACTTTCTTTTGGAGCTATCTCAGGAGCATCTGTGCTCACAATTCCTCCACTAGATATTGCAAAACCTCGAGAAAGAATTGCCCACGGGCTGCTTTTCTCTGCTTTAACCCACAGATGGTTGGGTGAGAAATCCTTCCATTTGCACAGTGGCTCTGGACCAAGTTTTAGATATTGCAAAAATCAGTGCAAGGGCTAAGTGCCAATGGAAGTTCCCCCGACTTGAATTGTTGTGACTTTCTTTTGGAGCTATCTTAGGAGCATCTGTGCCCACAATTCCTCCACAAGATATTGCAAAACCTCGAGAAAGAATTGCCCACGGGCTGCTTTTCTCTGCTTTAACCCACAGATGACTCTGGGCTGAACCATGCATGACGTGGGCAGATGAGCGCATCTTTATGCGCAGGGAAGTGGTGGCAATTTGGAGAGGTATAGGATGTATTCTTGCAAGAGTATGAGTATGGACACTTTACTGTCTATGCCACACCTGTCACATCTTCTTCAAATAGCCCCTATGCCCTTTGTACTGGCTTTTGCAATTTTTAAAACTTGTATCCGAGCTGAATTTTGTCCCACTTTGCAAAATTTAATGATTATTCGGCCAGTCATGACTCCCTGTGAATGAATGATATTCCATTGCAAAGAGAAGTAATTTGGCTTTTTGGTACATTGAATGAAAAGGATGCAGTCAGCATTGGTTTTATGTTTTTTTCCAATATTGCACCAGGCTACGTACACGGACTTTTGCGATGTTTACAACTTGGCCAAAAGCTAATTTTAGCCCACTTTGCAAACGTAATGATTACTCGCCCCACCATGACCAAATATCAATGAATAATATATCATTGTAAAGAGGAGACACATGGCTTTATGGTGCATTAAATAAAATTAATGCTGTTATCATTGGTTTTGTGCTTTTCCGAGATAACAATCTGTTGCGTTTTTTTGATACGCATTGTAGAACGGGTTTGAATCTTTCAGGACAACTAACCCTGTAACTGGGCAATTCACATGGCTTTTTCCAAGTCTTGAAGTGACTGGATGAAAAGGTGAATGAGGCTCTAAATAATGAGAAAATGGGTCACATTTGCCCCCTGGGATACATAATTTTTACTATTATTCAAATTCAATGGGAGATATCGGCATCACTTATGCTGTAAATGATTCATATATAAATGATTATACACCATTTATTAAAGACTTTCCTCCTCGCTCCCCGTTCGAGTATCTATAAAGAAGTTTGCACATTCGGTTTTTAGCCGCAATACATCCTCTGCACGCAGGGCTCCAAAATACAGATTACTTCTTTTTGTTGAAAGAATGAGATACTGATTCTTGACACCTGCTTAAGAGGATGGCCGCAACAGTGCTACATATTATTCCTGTGTCCGTTTTTGACAGGATCGATTTGATAGAAATGAAATGCACAACTAACATGTCAGGAGGTTCAAAAACACCAGATGTCTCAAGATCATTCTGTAATATAGGCTATATCTGGACACATTTTCTAATATATCATGATAAAAACTTAGTGCGCACATGATATTGTAAAAACTATCTGTTTTATTTTAAAGACTCGTGTATTGTTTTATTTGATGGAAATTTTGTGTTGGTTTACATTAAAGACGTTTTGTTTTCCTATTGTCTGTCAATGATTTTTATCTAGATACTGTTCAATGTCTAGTTCCTATACTGCGTTAGATCGTGTTGTAACATCTGATAAGTGGTCATATCCATATCTGGCCAACTATTTAGGTCTTGTTTGGTGTCCGCTATTACATCCAATAAAACATCTAATTCAATTGTGGGGTCATGTGCTTTTGCCATCATCAAAAGCTGGAACGCAAACATGGGCGGAGTTGGTAATTTCACCATGTTCACGACAGATTCCACTGCTTTCATTCGATTGAAGAAGCCCTGAAAGTATACATACACTAAGATACATTTGATGCCTCCATACACAACAATACATTCAATGAGCCAATCCACCATTATTGTTCCAAATGAGACAAGAGAGACTACACTGGTTAATGACATGTGTGGTAACATTGAATGTCGGTCAAATGTCCAGTTTTATTTACAGATCTTTTCATACTGAATTTTGCGTTTTAAGTGAATCCCTGCAGATTTCACTCTTACAGGTATAGGAAGGATAAACGTACTGCTTATTCTCAAAAACTTGAAGTTAGAATATTATCTTATTATCTAACCGAACAAACTTCGAGGATGATGTAGGGAAGCCGTTCGTCCGTCCATTCGTCTGTAATTACTCAAATAATGCTTGATGGATTTGATTCAAATTATATAGGCTTATGCCGTATGGCGATAGAACCTATGCTGGAGAAGAAATTTTCAATATGGCAGCTTAATTAAAAAAAAGCTGCCATTTTTCATACGAAATGTAATCTTTTGATTACTCGAATGCTAGTCTACGGATTCGGTTCAAATTTTATATGCTAGTGTGAATGGATTTTGGTTTACATTTTATATGCTGATGCCCAAGGACAAAGGCGCTACCCCGAAGAAGAGATTTTCAAAATGGCTGCTAAATATAAAAATGGTGGCCATTTATCGTAAAAACGTAATCTTTGATAACTCAAATATCAGTGAATGGATTTGGTTCAAATTTTATTTGAAAAAGTAGAATGGTTCAAGAAAGAACTTTCAAAATGGCGTCTGAATTTCAAAGAAGCTACCTTAAAGAAGAGATTTTCAAAATGGCTGCTAAATATCAAAATGGCAGCCATTTTTAGTAGAAAATTTAATCTCTGATAACTAAAATAGCAGTGAAAGGATTTTTTAAATTTAATTTTGGGACACAGTTTTTCAAAATGGCGGCTGAATTTCAAAATGGCTGCCATTTTTCGTAAAAAGGAATGCAATCTTTGATGACTCAAATGCTTATCGATGGATACGTTTTACACTTTATATGTTGATGCCTAAGGACAAACAAGCTCTGCTCAAGAAGGGATTTTGAAGATGGCCACTAAAAAGCAAAATATGTTTGGTTCGGTGGGATTTGCTATTTTTTCTAGGTCCCAGAGAATTAAAGATAAATTCATGCGACATCCTCAAAACACGCAAGCGCGACCTTTTTGTGACGTGTCCTTACCATTTTGTTTACAGACAGTGCTGGTTGCAAAGTGTGAAACCATAAGCCTAGCCAATACATACTATATTCTAGTTCCCTTTGTTCACCAAAAGGTATAATTTTGTTGGAAAGGACAATTTTAGTTTATAGTGCTACCAAGAATTATTCTAGAATGGATACCTGTAGGTTTCCTTCCTGTGAAATGAGCCAGTCGATATACTGATTTTGGCATGAGACGAGGTTATTCTTATCCACATTGTTCTCAGTGTAGACCGGTATACTGGCTATGCTCTGATCGTAATAATCATCCGAGTATTCCCTCACTTGGTTCATGAAGTCACTGCTGTTCACAAAGCCCTAAATGAGTTGTAAACATCGAAGTTAAGGAGTAGAATCAGATGAATGATAGGCCAGCTTTGAAACGGTTATTTTTGGCTCATTACTTTTAGATATTTGCATCGGAAAAGATTTCATTAAACATTCTCTTACTTCTTTAATTTGCCCATAGCTGACTTCCATCTCCGCGGCAGCTGTGATTTCAGTAGCTATGTTATCTCTTATGGTCTTTTGGGTCTCAGCAGTGTCAGCTATGATGCTCTTTAAGTCGTCCCTTACTTGCCTCAGGCTGTCCCTTGAGGCTTTTGCAGTTGTGATATCAAAGTACAAGACCACACCTAAAAGGAAGATTTCACATTTTTATGCAATTGAAGATTATAAACCATACTGGAATTTGTATATGAGATATCGGGCACGTACCTAGCTTTTGTTTTACTTTACAAAATTCCAGGGGGAGTTCACAACTTCAAATTTGGTCCAAAAATGGCCAAAATATCAAGAAACATGAGCAAAACTGCATGACGAATCATTGATTTTGCAAAAGTCAAATCAACCCGGAGACTGCATAGGCCATATCACCAGTGGCCTTTACAATGAAGGAACTTCACTTTGTGGAGTGCAACAAATGTCAAGTAATGAAATCTTGAAATAAAATAATCACTTACCATTTAGAAGAAAGCCTACACCATATGCAGCAACCTTCAGAGCTTTGGCAATTCTAGGGTTAGCATTGAGGTACCTTTGCATTCGTCCCATTTTAGCACCTGTGGCTTGCTGGGCCCCTGTTATCTTCTGTATCTTTGACCTTTGGAAGTTGCTAGTGTCAATGTTCTTCATGCTCTTCCTCCATTTGTAATGTTTGTAAGCGTTGTTGGCGAAATACAGGGTCTTAGGCAAGATTTCAATTGCGAGGAAGGCCCCCTGCATGTATTTATGCATTTGCATACTCTCTTTTAGTGATTTGATCTGGGCTTTAACGCCTGAAAGCGAAGTGAGTATTTCTTGATATAGTTATGTTTAATCATGACAACATATGATGTAGATAGTAATTAATAACGATTAAGGTGACATAACCCGGTTTATTTTATTGCATGAATCCACACAGTAAAATTATGATTTCTCTGCATCCTGATGTCCAATTAAGGTCATTGGAGTATCTATATGTTCCCGATACGTTTGGGTATCTGGGAGTGACAACGTCTACCCAAAGTTCGCACGCCATATTGACGTAATCTATGAGTGAAATCGGAAAAAACAAAATGGTGTGATATTCTTTCAAGATTGCTTATAATAATTATTTACAAAAACGTTCCCAAGACACAAATCTATTTAGCCAAGTGTTTCTTTTAAAGTCAGAAAGCCCCAATGAGACAATACAAACCCAGAGAAAACTGTAATATAGAACCTTTTCATTATGGCATATGCTTCCGTGTCTGTATATCCCTCAAGTGCTTAACAAGACCATGTATCTTCAAATAAAACCTTGGACAGGTAAATTAGAGTCTTGTATGTAACACTTCTGAAAATAGTTTTCACAAGGTATTGTTTGCGTATCTCAAAATTTTTCTTCCCGATGTCAGTCTTAAATTACGTCAATATAGCGTTCAAACTCTGTAGATGCTGTCATTCTCGGATGTCCAAACGTCTCAGGAACACAAAGATACTCAAATGGTCTTGATTGGACATCATGTGCAGAGAAATCGCAAATTTACTGAGTGGCTTCACGAAAAAATGAATAGGGTTATAAGCCACGTTAAATTCGGAAATCTTTGTAGAACTATGGTTTCTTTGGTTTATCAATTCAATCCAGCTAAAATCGTAAGGTATATGGAATTTAAATGATAATAATTTTCAGAAACCGTAAGTTAATAGCTAGAGTTGTTTTAACCAAGGTCTGTGCTAATGTGCGTTTTCTTGTGTTTCAGCATCACATTTGATTCAAATAACGAATGCCTTGGTCACATTTGCTCCGATTTTCACCACGGCGCCCGACCGATTGTGTAATTTGTTGAAAATCGAATACGATATTGAATAAAACACTCCATGAATCGACCGAGCGGATCGGAACAAATGCGACCCAAGCAAGGGATCAATTTCAGAAAATCAACTGTATTTGAACAGTTAGGTGGGAGAAGGAAAGTCATTAATCTAAAAGTTAGCTTTTCGACACTGAAGAATTACAAAAAATGACTGCACTACATATGATGTAAAATTTTAATGTGACCAACATTTCTCAAACACAATTATTAGGTGAAGGGAGGGGATCACAGATTAACTGTTCAAATACTATTAGTAACCCAACATTGAACGTTTGAGACGCCCCTCTAGAAACAGTTCAGAGTGATGATATTCGACATTATGCTAGAGTTACCTGCAATATTGTTGTTAATAGCAGTCACGTCAGTTTCCATCTGCTCTGGGTCAATATTTGTCACTTCTATTCCCGCAACTTTATCTAGTAACTGCGTTTAAGAAAAAGATAATATATATATTGCCCCTGCTGTTTAATATATGTAGCAATTAGCCATAAGGTATAAACCGTATAATACCATGCATGCATACCACTCAAATTGTTAGACCCAATATTATATATTTTGAGGGAACCAATATGTCCAAATGATCTTCAATTCCTTATAATTCCATATTCACAATATTTATATTTTTAAATCACATGTACAACTCCTCGATGATAAACCGAGTGTACACTCACTGCATGGGGCGTCTGGTAACTTTGGTCTCAATCATTGAAATATTTGTTTTACAATGACTGGACTGATGAGAGGCGAGTGGTATGATACATTAAAGAGGTTAAGCTACACGTTTTAAACAAAACTTGAACGTGAAATGCAATGCGTGCGCAGATAAATAACGTCAGATTTGTTATTTTCTGTTGGCCAGCGTGATGTCTACAGATTTTTACATGAGATTATCATATTTGTGCAATTTACAGACGCGTATTCAACAAAGCAAATAAAACAACAAAATAAGCCGCATTTTAGGCCACCTTAACAGGACGTATACTTGAGCGTGAACTTACGCGTTCAGGTTCACGGTTTGTATTTGAACGTGTAGCTTAACCTCTATATTGCTACCTTTGTTAGTCATGGGCTACTTTTGGATATTGGGGGCCGTCTCTGCTTTTTTACTTATGATACTTTTACCAATGACAAACAGATACATGCATGTAATTCATGCCCGTAGCCAGCTTTTTGTTAGGGGGGAGGGCTGCCCCGAAAAAAATTCCCCATGCTAAACCTGGGCTAAGGAGGCTCTACAATATTTTTGGGCCAACATTTTTTCTGGGCCCATCCTATGGCCGCGCAGAAAACCTTTTAGGGCCCTAGAACCAAAATTTGGGCCTAAATTCTGAAGATTTTTGGTCCGTTTTTTGAAAATTAAGCCTAAAATTGAAAAAATAAGGCTAAAAAAGGTCAAGTAAAGGCCAACTCAAGAGGCCCTACACTATTTTTGGCCCAACATTTTTTTCTGGGCCCATCCTAGGGCCGCGCGTAACTTTTTTTAGGGCCCTTTAACCTAAGTTTTGAAAATTTATAGCCCGTTTTTGAAAATTTGGCCTGAAATTGAAAAAAATTGAAAAATAATGCCTAAATTCGAAAAACAATGCACAGTAATGCCAGTTTTTTAATCTTAATTGCCCAGTGAATGTGGGGAATAGCAAGTTTTTCTTCAAGGAAGCAAAAAGGTAGGTCCACATTTTTTAGGAGATATCGGGGGGGGGGGCTCGTAGGAGCCCCCAAATGCTGTACAAGCAACCGCATCACGTGTAGTTACAAAAATGTCTTTCGTTTGTCCAGAGCCGACTTTGGCCCACTGTGAAAAAATGAATGTTTTTCACCAAACCACATATGAATGAATGACATACCATTACATGACCATTAGGGACGTGTCTTTATGGTACATATAATGAAATTGATGTAGTCCTCACTGTTTGGGGTGATGACTACATGTTTGGAGATGTAAATAACATTAAGCATAGAGCTGTCGTATTTCACTTACCACGACGATATCCGCAGAATACTGTCGAATCATCTCCAACTTGCCTACAATACGTTCATTCTTGCCATTGGCTGTCGTTAGGGTATTGTAAAAGTCGGTATTCACTCCGTCCATCTCCTTCAATCGCGCAGCATCTCCGTTCAATCTGGTTGCAATGTTCTCTACTTGCGGTGTCAAGACTTCAATCTCATCCTGAAATTAAAGAAATGTTAGCAAGATTGTTACCAATTGAATTATTGTAGCGGTTTTACTATAAATCACTTAAAATGCCAGATCATAACTGGTAAGCGAAAACGTAGCTATATAATTTTGAGAATGAAACCCATCAATAAGTTATGCCCCCATAAATGGGAGTTGATTTTTCAAATCATCCCACAACTACCTCTTTTTGAAATCTTTGGGTAAACGTTGTAGTAGTTGACTAAAAGCAGAATTTCATCTAAATAACCATTAATCCAAAATATTTTCAACCCGAAGATTTCAACATACGAGAAGTTGGGGGGATGATTTGAAAAGTCAACCCCACATTTATGGGAGTAATAATTTAATATTCGATATTCAAATCGGACCATACATTGTGTAGACATGTTTCTACAGTAACATAAGGGGATGTGTAAAACACTCCATATAGCAGTATACCATTAATTATATTGCCGACGTCAAGAGGATAAGGTACACATTATGAAGTCTCCGTGATGATAAAAATATAAATCGAACAATTCAAAAAATTATGAATAGAAACCCAATGTCAACAGTTCTTTCCAAAATGTTGAACCTATTTAATTAAAATAGGATTTTCTTTTTCTTATTCTATTTCATGAAGATTATTCAACAAGGGGTCTCAATTCTTCAAAAGTAGAATGCAACTTTCTTTAACTACCCCGGCAGCTTAAGTAGTACAAGTTCCCTATTGAAAAATATACTTGCACTCTTTCAATTTCAAAATACATCGGCTTTGTACATCGCAAATTGATACTTGCCTTTAGGTCACATATGGACGGATAGTAGCTACATCCGCCACTGGCCCAGCTAGCCACAGAGAGACCCAATGTAACAGCCTGTGTTCCATAAAATATGCCTTTCAGGATTGCTGCCGCTTGAGCTGAAAATATTCAATAAACCGTATAGTCCAACAACATTAGACCTAGCCTGGGCTTCGTTTCTTATCTGACATGTCTTATGGCCCCGGCTAGGTCTAACCTCCATGACCATTTTGCCCTTGATGCGTTAATTTAATCGTTCCGCAGGTTCCAACAAGCGGAACTAATTAAACTCCGAAAACATGGTAATATTACATAAAGAATGTGATTCAAGCATGCACACATACCTTATAAATACATACACACCATCCCGTATACCCCTTAGACCATATTGATGCATAATTACGAAAATATTGGAGACCGGTTTGGAATTTTACGAAAATATCGGTCAGCTCCGGTAACATCGAAATTGCAAATCGTATCAGGAATTAACCGTCATTGCGACACTGCATCAACGAACAGTAGGTTTGCAATTAATAACTATTTTGTGTGTATACAAGTGCTATATAAATCAATCAAAGATACCTGCTATCCTCAAAAATGGTTATTTTATCCCGAGTAATCGCGTGATAATTATTAATCTATTTGACAACAATTTCGTTTCAATAGTTTAAATTTTAACCCGGGACGAACAGACACAACGACGGACATGCCATCGGCAAAACTGCCCTAATTCACGTCACCATACTAGTCAATGGGCAAAAGGGCAAACGCCTGACTTTTTATCTCGAGTTATGGATTTATGTGGCCTCACTGGCCTATCTGAGGTTCTAAAGCTATGTCTAAGCTACATCTTGACACTAAACTCAATAGGGGCCAACCATCTACTTTTTGAAATAATTGGTCAATTGCGACACTACCCCCTCTCTCTGCAGACACAAATTGAAATTCACAAAAATGAAGGCAAAATTAATACGCCACTTGACTCGAAATTTTCCTTCAGATAACCCAAATAAACGCATTTTCAGAAGAAATGGCATGTTGTCATTGCAAAAAGATCACAACTGTGCCTACATACTAGCTTACTGACTCGTCATGATCACAATTGTGTTGGGACTACATTTATTTTTGAATACTACTTTTTTCTATTCAGCGGAAGTGACGTATTAGGGCATTTTGGCCTAATAGCCACATGGTTGGATGATTTCTGGCTTTAAATTGCGTTTTTCCAATTTACTAGAGTTTTTCAAGTAGTTTTGTGCAGTTTAAGAATATTCTGACAGCAATTATGAAAAATATGGCTACTTCATTACCCCTGGGGTCATTTTTCCAAGAACCCAATGGTTTTCCTTTAAATTTGACTAGTTTTTCATTTACATCATGAAATCCACTGCCTGATGGTGACATTTTTCATTACCGTGTCAAGAAATTGAGTATTTTATTGCATATTGCGATTTTTAGCCAAAATCACTGAACCGTGTACCAGAAAATTGGACAAATTTGGCCTACTTTTTGGCAAAATCTTACTAAAATCATCACTTTTTTATACTTTATTCCATTCAACAACCTCCTGATTTGAAAAATGATGACAAATTTGATCAGTTTTGACTCTGGCCTAGAGAATTGGGACTTTTGATATATTTTTTAGCTCGAATGTAGTCATTCAGAGTGAACAAATACATCAAAAATTGACACTTAACTCACAAATTTCTGACTGCACCCCCGATATGTACCTTCTTTCTATACTGGAAACCATAAGATGGAAAATTCAATCTTTATTATGAATAGCAACTCGTTGGCTTCCCCATTTACGACAACATATGACATTTAGGGGTCACTAAGGACAAAATTGTAGCCAAATATCGTCAAAATCAGTGGTTTTTGGGGTAAAAAGCGAAAACTGCTGATTCAGCAAAAACATTAAATTTGTTCATGAAAATTCCCCTTTTTGCCTCCGTCCAAAATATGTTTCACACTAATAAACTTCAATTCTGGGCGATTCTGAGTAGTTTAAAAAAATTTTGGTCACTTTCACATGTGACTAATAGGCAAAACTGCCCTAATTCACGTCACCATACTAGTCAATGGGCAAAAGGGCAAACGCCTGACTTTTTATCTCGAGTTATGGATTTATGTGGCCTCACTGGCCTATCTGAGGTTCTAAAGCTATGTCTAAGCTACATCTTGACACTAAACTCAATAGGGGCCAACCATCTACTTTTTGAAATAATTGGTCAATTGCGACACTACCCCCTCTCTCTGCAGACACAAATTGAAATTCACAAAAATGAAGGCAAAATTAATACGCCACTTGACTCGAAATTTTCCTTCAGATAACCCAAATAAACGCATTTTCAGAAGAAATGGCATGTTGTCATTGCAAAAAGATCACAACTGTGCCTACATACTAGCTTACTGACTCGTCATGATCACAATTGTGTTGGGACTACATTTATTTTTGAATACTACTTTTTTCTATTCAGCGGAAGTGACGTATTAGGGCATTTTGGCCTAATAGCCACATGGTTGGATGATTTCTGGCTTTAAATTGCGTTTTTCCAATTTACTAGAGTTTTTCAAGTAGTTTTGTGCAGTTTAAGAATATTCTGACAGCAATTATGAAAAATATGGCTACTTCATTACCCCTGGGGTCATTTTTCCAAGAACCCAATGGTTTTCCTTTAAATTTGACTAGTTTTTCATTTACATCATGAAATCCACTGCCTGATGGTGACATTTTTCATTACCGTGTCAAGAAATTGAGTATTTTATTGCATATTGCGATTTTTAGCCAAAATCACTGAACCGTGTACCAGAAAATTGGACAAATTTGGCCTACTTTTTGGCAAAATCTTACTAAAATCATCACTTTTTTATACTTTATTCCATTCAACAACCTCCTGATTTGAAAAATGATGACAAATTTGATCAGTTTTGACTCTGGCCTAGAGAATTGGGACTTTTGATATATTTTTTAGCTCGAATGTAGTCATTCAGAGTGAACAAATACATCAAAAATTGACACTTAACTCACAAATTTCTGACTGCACCCCCGATATGTACCTTCTTTCTATACTGGAAACCATAAGATGGAAAATTCAATCTTTATTATGAATAGCAACTCGTTGGCTTCCCCATTTACGACAACATATGACATTTAGGGGTCACTAAGGACAAAATTGTAGCCAAATATCGTCAAAATCAGTGGTTTTTGGGGTAAAAAGCGAAAACTGCTGATTCAGCAAAAACATTAAATTTGTTCATGAAAATTCCCCTTTTTGCCTCCGTCCAAAATATGTTTCACACTAATAAACTTCAATTCTGGGCGATTCTGAGTAGTTTAAAAAAATTTTGGTCACTTTCACATGTGACTAATAGGCAAAACTGCCCTAATTCACGTCACCATACTAGTCAATGGGCAAAAGGGCAAACGCCTGACTTTTTATCTCGAGTTATGGATTTATGTGGCCTCACTGGCCTATCTGAGGTTCTAAAGCTATGTCTAAGCTACATCTTGACACTAAACTCAATAGGGGCCAACCATCTACTTTTTGAAATAATTGGTCAATTGCGACACTACCCCCTCTCTCTGCAGACACAAATTGAAATTCACAAAAATGAAGGCAAAATTAATACGCCACTTGACTCGAAATTTTCCTTCAGATAACCCAAATAAACGCATTTTCAGAAGAAATGGCATGTTGTCATTGCAAAAAGATCACAACTGTGCCTACATACTAGCTTACTGACTCGTCATGATCACAATTGTGTTGGGACTACATTTATTTTTGAATACTACTTTTTTCTATTCAGCGGAAGTGACGTATTAGGGCATTTTGGCCATCCTCCGAACACAGGCCTCCAGAACTCGGAAGAAGGAAGGAACTTTGTGGATGATGTCTGGAACCCTGCGTTCGGAGGATGCGGACATGCAGAAATGTCATTTTAGAGATTGGTAAGTTTAACCTCATTTTACTCGTATAAATGACCATTTAATACAATGATATTGTGTTGAATCGCTTGATGGTATGTGTTTTTATATTGTTGTCAAGTATCAGTTGCACGTTATCGCGGAAAAATGGTTTCGGTGGATCCAAAACTTGCATCAATGGAAAGAATAGTAAAGAGGTTAAACTCAATAACGGCCCCAAGAAAATTCTTAATAATAAATAACGCCGTTATTGAGTTTAACGACGTTGAACTATAAACCGTATTGTAGAATTACACGTACACAACTATCTACACAATTCCCTCCCTATAAGTTATCATCTACACATATGAATATAAATGGATACTTGTTATTTCCATGGGCTCTGTGGTAGAGCCCATGTTATTTCTAAAGTAAGATTCATAACTCAAAATATCGAAACTTAAATATCTTCCCATTTTCAATATACCAAGACCTAATTTTTGTTTATTTTAGTTTATTTTGTCGTTTGGTTATCATATGTGGAGTCTCTTATATTTTCGAATTCGAAGTACACAATATAGTCTTGAATCTGACAATAAGACCGTGTATAATATATCATGAATTCATATTCATAAAGGAAAAGCGTTTTCTGCACGCCTAGTCTGCACAGAGTGAACCAATCCGTGAATATTTCTTGAAAAATCTAGACGTTATGTGATAGCCCTAACAAGATATTCTGAATTTGTAATTACAATATTTTAAATTTAAGGTACATCTGAATGTTCAAAAATCGCATAAGCTTCTAAATTGCAATATCGACGTTGAACTAGTGACCCTTTTAAGGTTTGCAGCAAAAATCGCAACATGCACCCCGACCTTAAGGTCAGGGTGCACTTTGGATTTTTTTGCAATTTTGAAATGTAAACCACTGAATATTCTACTTATTCAGACATTCTGAAGAATTATCGACCCTCAATAAATAGTCTATGTACATTACGGTTCAGCTGGAAAGTAACATTTTGGTAAAAATTGCTTTACCTGCACATGTTACATTATAGTGTACCAGAAAATAACATTTGCAGGTATAGCAATTTTTACCAACATTTTATTTTCCAGCTGTACTCACAATATTAATAATATTCATAATATTAATAATATTCATAATATTCATAATATTCATAATATTCCATAATATTCCTTGTAATCCCCAATTAAGAAGGGTGTGATATATGACATAAACAATGGACGCGTATCACAATCACCATTCATGTGCTTATCCATGATGCATATTTATTTGTTCATTTATTTACTTATTTATTTATTATGAAGTGTTAATTTTGTGTGTTGTTATATATACTGTTTTCTGTTGTATTGATATATTGTAAAATTAGTGTTTACTTTGTGTACACTTAACCTTTTATAGGTATGAATGTGTAATAAAGTTCATAAATCTAAATCTAAATCATGTTATTTTTCAAACAAGAATAACTCCTTCACCACATTGTCTACTAGTCTATATCCAATAGACTGAATTTCCTGAGAATTCAGTCTATTGATCATCATGTCCCTCCTGTGGGAAAAACGGGAACTTTCCTGCAAACTATTATCAATTTTAGGAAACTTCACTTCCCAAAAATAAGCATTTTAACAATTCAATTAAGTAGTAAGGTACAGTTAAATGCTATAAAAAGTAACACATTGTCAGCATATTGTCAAATGGAAATAAAGCTAGGGGAAGTAACAAATATGCAAATTAATTTACCCAGTCGGCCATTTTGAATGGCACTTTCTATGTACACAAATAATTTTCAATCCCAAATTTTTAAATATGTGGGCTATAGTCTGAATATTTTCATTCCAAATTTCAAAAACATTTCAGACTAGAGGATATAGTCTACATTGTCTACATCTTCCAAGTTTGCACAAAGAGTGCACTTATGTGCCTAGAAAAGCCTTGTTAGAAGATTTGTTTTGTAAAATGTATAACAAATGAGAAAATTCAGTGAAAAAAGTTTCTGAAAAATTTCTGAATTTTTTCACTGAATTTTCTTGTTTTGTATACACTTTATCAAAACATTCTTCTCACAAGTCTTTTCTAGGTACATAAGTGCACTTTTTGTGCAAAACTGGAAGATATAGACAATGTGGGGAAGGAGTGATTCTTGTTTGAAAAATAACATGTGACTCTATTGAGGAATGCAGAAGATTTCCCATCATGCAACCTGACCCTAATGCATTTTTGTGCAAACATGAAAGATGTACATGTATATGATGTAATATGGTGGAATGAGCTATGTTTATCTGAAAATAGCACATGGTCATGAAATTTCATATAAAACTGACGAAAGGAACATTTCACATAATATTTCAAATTGATATTACAGTTAGTAATAATACAAGTGTACTTACAATGGACTTCATAGACATACTGCACAGAGACCAGCAACACGACGATAGACAAAAGTGTGACAAAAAATGGTAGACGCATCTTTCCCTCCTTCTCTTCTCGAATCCAAAAAGGAATGATTGTGAATCTTGCTGGTCTCAGGGTTATCACATTCGTGAGTAGATTTGTTCAATTCAGGTCTCTCAGACGAGTTTCTTATTGGTTAAGCAATATTTGTTTTTGCTTTGCTTTCAGCGACGTTTAGTGTTGTGTGTTCCTCGGATTTCAGCAACGTGTATTGTGACTAGGCTTTTTAGAGACGTATACTCCCCTTCATTAGTTTGGCAACCTTTGCTCCCCCATTGAACTACGTGTTAAAGCCTCTTTACGTTTGGATTTTATCTACTTACCCTGCGATTAGATCACTTTTAATATTGATGGTAACTTGACTTCATTTCCAACACCTCCAAATTTTCGCAATTTTTTCCTCAATTGCAATAGGTCGAAAATGATGATAAAGGATAGGTATCGATATGCCGAACTGCTTGTTTTTCTCTTGCCCCAATTATTGAAAACATTCTGTGAAAAATCACGGTCCTTTATGTAATGTTGACTGATTGGCAACAATTGAATGCAAAAAGTATTCATATATATTTTATATAACTGTTTTTGTTAACATTTTTTGTTTTGTTTTTAGTGCATTTGTTTTTTATCCTTTCTACCCAATCTTTAGAATGAAATAAAATGTCTTTCCGACCTTGTTGGAACAAAATAGCATTTACAAGATTTTCTTAGACCTCTCGATATTATAGTTATACAAATGACAAAAAGTTTAACAAAAAGTATGCAAAAACTTAAAACAAAACCCCCCAAAATAGATAAAAATTAAGGTTAACCTTTTATTTCATTAACAAGAAACTTTTTTAAAATCAATATTTCCTTTGTACAATTACGATATTGAGAGACCTAAATACGTTGTGTTTATGTCGTTTTGTTATAATGAGGTTCGGATAGATGTTTCATTTCATTCCGAACATAGATTTAGATTTATGAACTTTATTACACATGCATACCCATGAAGGGTTAAGTGTACACAAAGTAAACACTAATTTTACAATATATCAATACAACAGAAAACAGTATATATAACAACACACACAATTAATACTTCATAATAAATAAATAAGTAAATAAATGAACAAATAAATATGTATCATGCATGAGCACACGAATGGTGATTGTGATACGCGTCCATTGTTTATGTCATATATCACACCCTTCTATGTTATATCACATTTATGAATAAATTCTGCTACAATTTCAATTTCTTTATTTTCACAAGACATACAATATTGGAAAAAGGGAATCGTTCTCCATGTTGAAAAGGTGTTTAATGGATTAAAACGCGTCACCCGTCGATAGGTGTCGCTGTGACGTCATTACCCTATTATCGCTCACGAACGGTCTAGAACAATGTCGGAAAGAAAATGTAAATAAAACGATCGGAAATGCCATCCTACTGTTGTGTCCCGGGTTGTAACAGCCATATAGGGGGGCATCTGAACTGTGCTTCCGTAGAAAGTGATTGACAGGCTCGGTTAACCTATCCCACCTAAATTACGTCGTCCCCGTCGTCAAAAATGTAACTTACCATACTGCGTAACTGGATAAATGTATGTAAATGTTTACTAAAACCAAACTGGATCACAATTATTAACACAAAAAGACAGAAATACACAAAAAACAACTCGGAACGGAATCCCCGTCCCGGGATCCCCATCTGTCAATCATATTTGCACTCGGTGACCCTTACCGAGACGTCACAACTTTTGGAATGCAACAAGGCCAAAATATGTGATTATGCGTTTAACATTTTTAATTATCACGATACTGGGTAACAATATTCTTTTGATAGATTTCTATCATATGCTGACTCTTATTATGCGATACTCTTTGCAGCAGTCCAAAAATATCAAAGTTTTGAGATTAAAAAAATTATTTTTTTGGGCAAAAAAATGCACGAAGACGTGAAACATATGAATATTTTTAGATTGGTTTAGCCTGTGTTTGCACATTGAAGTTGAAATGAATGCCATTTGTTTTGAACTCTACATGAATTATTCCTGCTTCATTATGATCGATATCTTGTGTATTTATTTTATCTTGTGTATTTACTTCATGTACATGAATGCAACCAAAGCCGCAGGTGATTGACAAACATGTAGATGTACAATTTTATACTTGTAACATTACCACTGTTATTGAACAAAATATGTATGTTTTACAGGTTCAAGAAGACAACTGCGAAGATCAGCTGTCCCTTCACTTTTCATGCCAGTTCGTTCCACCAGTGGACTCACCCCATCAGGTATTAGACGGGCGGCACGTTCTAACAGAGGAGCAAAGGAGACCGAACCCTTAGAGGCAGAGCCCTTAGACTTAGAGTCTGAGACTGATCCATTAGAAACTAGTGAAACTACTTCAACAGATCTTATAGAAGAGGATTTAGTTTCTATTGACATTGGCATTGATGTGCAAGAAGTGGAAGTACAACTTGAAATTGATCAAACACCTAATACGTTGATTGAAGAATCACCAACCCAGTCTCAGGAACCTCCATTAAAACAAGATGAGGAAGTCCAATGCAACCTCATTGGTGACAGTGATCCCTCTTATAGGCCCCCACTCACCATTGAAATGCTGAAGAAGAATCCAAAACGTATACATTACCTCACATCATTCAATAGTTATTCTCATTTTAAACTTTTCTTTGATTGCCTTGGACCTGCTGTTTATGAACTTGAACAAAAAACCAAAGTAATGTGTGAGATGGATCAGTTACTTCTGACACTTATGAAGCTACGGCTTTGTATTGATGATGAACTTCTAGCAATGGAATTTAATGTTAGTGCCACAACAGTCCATAAAATAACCAACCAATGGATATCATTTATGTGGTTTCAATTAAACGAAATAAAGTGGTGGCCGAGTGCGGAAGTGATCGCCCAACATATTCCCAAAAGTTTTGGTGAACAATTCCCTAATACTAGGGCAATACTGGATGCTACGGAAACTCCAATCGCTAAGCCATCAAATGTAATTGAACAACGTGCAACTTTCAGTACTTACAAAAACAAGAACACTCTCAAAACTATGATTGGTTGCACTCCAAGGGGGATTGTTTCTTATATCAGCGATGCCTATGGTGGGTCTACAAGTGATAGACAAATAATTGAACGGTCGAAACTTTTGTCTGATCAATCAATGCTAGAGAAAGGGGACACATTGATGGCAGATAGGGGGATTATGGTGCAGGACCTTTTTGCATCTAAAGGCGTTCAGGTGAACACTCCAACTATGTTGAGAGGTAAGACCCAACTTGATCCATCTGAGGTGTTACATGACCGTAGAGTCTCATCCAAGCGTATCCATGTGGAAAGAGTAATTGGCCTTGGAAAACATATGAAAATTTTGAAACATGAACTTCACCCTGGAAAGAGAGATATGGGATCCAGAATTGTCAATGTATGCTTCCTAATTAGCAACTTCAGAGACTCCATAGTAAACATTGGCATGAAATCTTTGATATATTATCACGATTCATTGGGCAATAATAACAATATTTAAGTAAGATTTTTATGTATTGGAACTTAGAACATTAGCTTAAAAGAAGAATTAATAGAAATTCGACTGTCTACAGGGTGTCAAATAAATATGTTTCCCCCCTCAACTTTAACATCCACATAATGATTCATAACTTTTTTATCTGCATAATATCTGAATTTTTGTTTTGCACATTAAAACAAGCCTTCATCTTCATGGTGCAATCCTACATGAAGTTTCAAATGACTGATTCAATCAAATGCACTTTAATGCACAAAAGTTCAAACTCTTGAGATTTAAGGACAAGAATGAAAATAATATGCAATATATAGTTTTATTCAAAAATGTATTCTTAATGATCATTCTTAGATGTAACTAGTAATAGTATATATAATTAGTGATATACAGTGAAATCTGTGTATGGTGAACACTTACATATGGAGCCACAAAAATGTTTTCTCTGGTAGTAGTTCTTCATGACAGAAAGGAAGGAATTTTATACAACACAACAAGAGTTGTTAGTTGAGTATGTACTAAAAAAATTGTACTTGACACAGTCAGGTGTTCACTTAGACATGTTTTACTGTACTAGTACTAGAATGGTATACAATAGTAGGCTTCTGTGCAATTTCTGGAAGATATGTTCATAAACTAATTTACTGTAAGTGTAATGGAATGTTACAACTTTCTCATTTCTCAATTAAGCCTAGTTTAAAAATGTATTAATACATACTGCAGATAGTCACATGTATTATAGAAATTTATAGGCCTATAAATCAATTGATTTTTGAATATTGATTTTGTACAATATGTGCTTTTTGTAAATATTACACAATTACTTCATACTGTCATATTATACTTCTACTTAATCTGGCGGATCCGCCAAATTGTAAAAGTCAGCCTAATAAAGTAGCTGCAAAATTATCTGGTAATTTACGAATTAGCACCACTACCATTGGAATTGTACATTGTAATATTGCAAGTTTGCCTAATTAAGTAGCCACTAAATGTACAAAACAGCAAATCTGCCAAATTAATTAGAAGTACAGTCATCATATCAAATCCCATAAATGGAATTACATGTAGTACATGAATAACATAATTAGCAATAGCACCCGAGGAAGGATGAGGAAAATTATGCCAATTCATCAGAGTATATGTTCAATATTCAACTACATACAATGTTCTGCAATATATGGGCGCAAGTACTTTTCATAGCATAGCTCAAGTTTTGGAATAAGAGCTAGCTCACAATACTCTTGATCATATTCAATTGCCTGATGGAAGAAATCATTGAACACATACACAATGAAGTGGTATAATTTCCTGCCAGTGACATACATTTGACCTTGAACTTGGTCATAATACCCACTTGTTTTTTTCAAAGAGAGTTTCCCATCCTTCCTTTCGAGCCAAGGGAAATTAATATCATCAGTAATAAAGCTATCCTTGCCTTTAAAAGGACACTTTACTTCACAGATAGCATTTTCCCCTACAAATCCATCAGGGGATGCAGCCAGAAAAGGTTTCTCCAAGTGAATTACTAATCCA